GACTGGTCGTTTAGCTGATCATTCAAATCGGATGTAAGGACAGTCAACTACACGTTGACGCAGAGGATACAAATCCATAGGTATTGAAACTTACCGACCAAGCGATTTCCTCTCGTCACCAAATTGAGACTACGCAAGGTCAGTGGGCATGTTTGGAACGATTTCCAGGTTCTAAATCTAAGAGGTCAATAAAGAGGTGATGGGGCAGAGTCAGGATTTTAGGAAAAAGGGGTGGGGGTATAATGGTGAATGTGGAAAGTGATGACTGGTAACCATGGCTACAAAAAGGCACGCAGTGAGGGAATTACGAGAGGGTGCATGTGCCCTTTTTCACATTAAACATCATGCACGACGGAATTATAACGCGGAGCAGGGATAGTTCCTCTTACCATGATCCTACTTGTGACACGCTTTACACTTTCCTGATTTTAACGATGTCCGTCTTTTATCAACATTAACTTGATTGATGCACAAAATCACAGCAGAATTATGTGGCACCATGTATTTTTTTTTTTAAACACTGATTTTATGCTTCTTATAATCGGTCAGTCCTTTCACTTGTAGAATACCAAAGCTGAAACTTTTTGGTCAATATATTCCCCAAGCCAAACTACTTTAAAAAGGTTTTATCTTTCAATATTTTCTGAAGCATATTTTCTAGGATTGAAAATATAAACATGGTCACCTTCAAAATCTCATTCGTCCATAAGTCGATTTTAGTTATTGTTTACGGGGTGGGGTGAAACTTTAAGAAGAAAATAGAGAATAAAGAATCTGCTTTAGATAGCCAGGGAAACTCCGATTCTCTTGTGTACGAGTTGAATGACGCTCGTAAGTTGGTGCATGCTGACTTTCAACAAATAAAAGGTTGTTTCTTGAGAGGGAAGGAGGGCTGGTCGGAGGGAGGGACGGATTTGGAGGGGTGGGAAAGATAGACAGATGGAGAAAGAGAGAGAGAGAGAGAGAGAGGGAGAGAAAGAGAGTCGAGAGAGAGAGAGAGAGAGAGAGAGAGAGAGAGAGAGAGAGAGAGAGAGAGAGAGAGAGAAGAGGGGGGGGGGGGGTAATAAAGACCAAAGACCATAATAACAGCATTTAGAACATAGATTGTATATGTTCTAAATATACTCGTGATACAAAAACTACGTTTGCCACTTGCAAATCGGAAGCATACATAAAACAAACGAAAACAAGCAACCAATTAAGAAAGATACAAGCATCGTTAACGTTTTATCAGGTGTTGAAAGAAACAAGAAGAAAGAGAGGGATGTCTTGGTTTATTCTTATACTCGTGATATGTAACTTATTTCACGATTGCTTCATTCTTCACCCAACGAATACCTCTCCCATTCTCCCTTTCTCTACCACTCTCGAGGTGTGTCCACTGTCCAGGATTTTAGTAATGAAAAAAAGGGGGGGAAAAAAGGGGGGGGGGGGGGTCCAATTTCCCAACTTAAACAAAGGAGATTGTACAGGTGTTCATGTACCCCGAAACCAAAAGTATAAATGAAAAGAAAAGAAAAGAAAAACGTTATCTTTCCACAAGATCCCACCCCAATTCTCTCTCTCCCTCCCAATTTCTCCATATAACATCAACTTTTAAAGTCTTTATTTTCCCCCACTTTTTGTGCTGTTTTACTTTGGATTTCAAATGGACAAATAAAAGTGTGGTTTTAGTATAATCTCTTTGGTGCTAATATTCATTGTAGCTGCTTCTGAATGGTTTTTCAATATTTTCCTTAGTGCTTTTGAAATATTATTCCAATCAAAAAAAAAATAAAAAAATGACTGTTTACTTTGCTGCTTTCCAATTCAATATCAAGTTCATTCCTGATTTATCAATTGACATTGACAATTTCTTTGGAAACAGCAATTTCACATTACTTTTCTAATTGCATTACGGGTTACTTGGTAACAAGGGGGGGCCTGCCCGGTTCACAGCTGTGTGTGATTGACCGGTCTCGACTGCCATAGACTGCCCACGTCTTCTTGTATCGTTTTTTTTGTTGTTGTTTTTTTTTTTTGTTTTTTGTTTGTTTTTTGTTTTTTTTTGTTTGTTTTTTTGTTGTTTGTTTTGTTTTCTGTTTTTGTTTTGTGTTTGTTGTTGTTGGTTTTGTTTTTAACGGGGGTAGGGGATATAACAAACTTCATTCATTCGATATAACTAAGTTGATTGTAGTTTGTACTTTGTTCCAATATGTTATAAATTATAATATGTAATAGGGATACTAGTACTACAGAACAAAATATAGAGGGGGGGGGGGGGGTTATAACAATATTAATTCATTCAATATAATTGAGATTACTGTATTTTGTACTCTGTAATTGGTTTCAATATGTTATATATTACAATTTGTATGAATTAATATTATTTATTGAGTGAATACAATAAAGAATATTACAACAAAAAAAACAAAAACAAATTGTTCAGATGAGATAAAATGGTGATAAGGTAGAATGCTAGATGTACAATTACAGATAATCCGACAGTTAGAATGATAACAGACCATTATTAATGATAAAAATTGGGAAAAACTGATCTGATTGATTCCTTAATTCTCCCAACTATATACAATTTAATAATTTTTTAGGTCAATGTAAATCGTCACAGAGCAATGAATTGGCTCTATATACCATTCCAGACATTTAAGTGTTGAAAGATTTGTTAAAGCCCGTCTTATGTCATATTTTTTTGGAAAAACGGTTGGGAAAATTAATAAGTAACATTTTATACACAAATTTCGTAGTTTTTCATTAACCTTCAACCATGTTACAGTGTCACTTTAAACTACTACCAATAAAACAAATATTTTGGTTTGCTCTTTATTGTATTGTCTTTACATCTCAGGCTCTTTCTGAATATATTCATTCCGATATTGCCTAAAAACAGTTGAACACAAGTTCAGATTGAGAAAAAGAGTTGCAAAATATGAATTATGTTTATTAAAGCAGCATTTTGAAATTAATGTAAAATCCATCAAGTTTTAATACCTTCATAGTATTCTTTTACTTTGTATCTTAAACTGCACAAAGGTAGATATACAATTTATAAAGTACTAGTACATCAAGTATAGTCTGTTTGCAGCCAGAAGGGCTATAACTTTTGAATTGAATTAGATTGATTTAATCATGGTAAAACTCACATCCCCCTAAAAAGACTGCTTTTCAGCAAGTCCGTGTAAAAAACATAAAACAGATCATATCGACACCAAATTGAATGTAAAAACAGTGTGTACATCGGGAAAGACATTTAGACATATATATAAACCAAAATTAAATTAAAAAGCTAGCGCATCAAATAAAAGTAACAAGCATTAAAGATATATGATTTAAAAATATGAATAAATTAGAAAGAACAAAATTAAAGTAAAATGCTATCAAATTAAATGAAAAAAACAGACATAGATATAATTTATGATAAAATTATATACTCTGTGTTAAGAGTATATGAGTTAATGCCCTTCTGGCTCCAAACAGATGTTATGATGATGACACTGACTGGACAAGTAGAATGATGATCAACAAGCAAAAACACAATCATGTATGAAATTAGGTTCATAAGGTTCATATTTATTGTCCATTTAACAATGGAAATTTGTGGTGTTACATGGTATTGCGATACACATAATTTATATAACATATATATTCATACAAAAGTCAGTAAAATAATCTTTGAGTTGACAGAAACAAATTGCAGCTACAAAACAATGTATTTGATTGTGGTCTTTGAAGACTTGCATCAATCAAATACATGTATTTATGTCTGGGTACCGACTGGTGTTTATTTGTAAAATTTTGTATTAGGATCACAAAGGCTCATAAATACCAAAATATATTCAGTCCACACTGGTATGATTAAAGGGCAATCCAACCCTTGAAATAAGTTATTTTTGTATGAAAGCAGAAAAATAAGATAAACAGAAATGCGAAAATTTGAAATAAATCAGATCAATGATAAGAATTTATGAATGTTCAAAATATGAGATCAATAATGTCCATGCAAATTTCAAGTTGGCAGTTTGGTCAGTGGATTGTGACATAGTTGCAGATAACTCTCCTGTACACAGTTATCACTCATTTATGTTTGTTTCTCTCTAAAGTGCCTTCTCCCTTGGGGCACTACTAAAAAAATATGTTATGGATAAGATATTTATAAGCATTGGTCCTCTAAAGAGAAAATAATCCTCAGTCATGAATTTTAGAAGAAAAACAACATTTTTTTTTTGTTTTTTTTGTTAGTGGTGGTCATTTTGTGTGTTGGAAAAAATGAGAAAGTGGTTCCCCACTACATAACTTTCTCATTTTTTGTCTGATTATATTCAAACTTTCACCAGTCTACTGTGATTTTTCTGCTTTCCTCACAATACTGATGCATTATACATAGGTGAACATTAACAGTATAAATAATAATGATTGATAACAGAAAATACTGTAACTCTGACTTTTAACATGTACCATTTGCAAAACACGACTCTGGATCACTGTTTCACTGATAGGCAGGATGGGAGAGCATTATTCACATGAATCCGGGCGTACTCTGACTCGGCCTGCTGCAAATATGGGCCGAGTTGTCCCCGCATACCCTAACTTTAACCCTAACCCTAATGCTAAACCCTAACCCTAATCCTAAAACTGAACCCTAAAACCAAACCCTAAACCCTAACCCTAAAAGATTTCAAAAAAATTCAATCATGCCGGGACAACTCGGCCCCGTATTTGCAACGGGTCCAATCACATTACAGTTGAAAGATTTACAAGTTGTTGCTGTTGATCTTACACAGGAATAATACAATGTCCCGCCACGGCACTATTAAATATCCTTTGGCAAGACATTAATCTACATTTGCCATACTCCACCCAAGTGAGGTAAATGGGTACCCGGAAGAAATTCCTTGAATGCTTGAGCTTCTTTTCATAGTACATGTAGCTCCACTAGCTCGGCTAAAGCCCGGGTAATGATAAGATTGCAGGGCCCTCAGGGGGATGCTGATGAGGCTACCCTGGGTAAACAAGACGTATTATTATTATTATTATTATTATTAATATTAATACAACAACATAAAGAGACAAATTTTTGATTATATTTCTTTACCCATCTGATATCATATTTTAAGAAGATAGAAACAATTTTAAAATAGCAAGAAAGCCCAATGTTAATAACAGAAAAAGCAGCAAAGCTACACATAAATGCACATTTACAAATTTACCCCTGGCCTGTAATACTACAAATTGCATCAGAGTATAGATTCAACATTAAATGAATTAGTTTTAAATCCTGTTTAGGCTCTAGGATGTCCAAAATGGGCAAACACATAGTGACTGTTGAACTATTCATAAAGTGATGGTAACCAACATTGTTGGTCCACTGGCACTGACGATGAATAGGAAAAGTAATTTAATCATTAAAAAAACAAATCCTTGGAATTTGTAGGTTACATTGAGAAATTATTATTAATTTGGACTAAGTTATGGCATGCATAGGATCAGTAAATGCTTAATGTACAATGTATAAACTGCACAAAAAGAGAAGAATAAAAAGTGATATACTGGTAGCACCAAATTTTGGAAGAAGTCAAACTAGATGTAGAATTTGTTAAGATCCTTGAAAATTTATCATGGTATACCATTTTTTCTTATGCAACATTCTGTTGGTGGCTTTTGCCAATCATAAATATAAGAAGGTCTCGTCTGATGTTCCTGAGAGCACAGACGCCCTGTTTCTTTATAATGCTTCCATTTCTGTCTCATATCCTCTGGTGTCTGTTTATGCGTGATTAGGTAGGTGTTTGAACAGCCCCTCGACAGATATTCGGTGTCAAAGCGTGTGTCGTGTTGACGATTAACTTCCACTGCCGCCAGCCAAGATCCGAGCGATACGTCCTCGCCGTTGTATTTCTTGAGGTACTTGGCGTTCAAGCTGACGAAGTGCACTAGATCTGCGGAGAGGATGTAGCCACCGCCTTTAGCGTAGGGAAGGTAGCGGTCGCACAGTACCCAGTCTGCCTCTGCATACTTCCCAGTCTTGTGTACCCGGGCACGTCCATCAAAGAACCCCCAGAAGAGTTTCTCTTGGCTCTTTTGCGGCAGCTCCTTCGCTAAAGCATCAAGTCTAACAAAGGAATCATCGTCCACTTTCAGCACAAATTTATAACTTACATTGTGATCCAGCCACACAAACATATCAATCAACTTTTGAGTTAAAGCGAGGAAACTGTCTTCAAGGTCTGGCAAGAATAGGAGATCATTATACTCTTTCTGTTCTCTCTCTAAGGCTTCCAGATGCTCCGTTGGCAAGTTGGCAGTGCCAATTACAAACTTTACGATCATGTCATTTGTTCGTAATGTCAGCCACGTGTCGCGTAAAACTTGACGTCCTGCTAGGAGTTTCGGTCCGGACATGACCAGTATGACTAAAAATGCTGAGAATGGTTTGTCGCCCCCACTGTCGTCCAACGTCCTTAATTGATTTTGGTTTGAGTTCTCCCGCGGGCAGGGTTTTCTGGGGGAGTCTTCAGTTACATTGCATGATGATAGGAGTAGAACAAATCCGCACAAAGAGAATATCGGGATGCATAGGAGAAAACGGGTCAGAAACCACCGGAATGTACGCGACATCCTCATCTTGAGCACCTGAAAATAAAACGCGACATTAGGACAGCACGTTGGTACAGAATGAATAATGATGGATATGTTATTTCCAGTGGTGGTTGAATAACTTAATTTAAAGACATGAAGAAAAAAACTTGTAAATTGTTAAAACAGGAAACCCAAACACAATAACGACAAGCAGGGCGGGGCGACACAGAGGTGTTGTTACGTTTCATGAGAATACGCCAAATCAATGACTTAAAGACACGACAAGCAGGGCGGGACCGGGGCAACACGGAAGTGTTGTTATGTTTCATGAGAATACGCCAAATGAAAATCAATGACTTAAAGACACATCATTGTTTTATATGGAATTGAATTAATTGGCCACTTTGAGATAGAGGTCTAGAACAATTCAACAATGCAATGTCTCTGCAGCTGCAATGCACAGGTCCTCTTTGCATGATCAAATTCATTAGCAGTTAGCACCCACTACACTGCTGCACTGCACTGTCCACCACTGTCTAAAAAACTGGAAGTCGGAGACTGAATGAATTCGGGCTTCAAAATAACATCTACACCTACTAAGTACTATAATTTGTAGGGTTGATTGGTCTGAATTTCGGCCATCAGCCAGCATCGGTCTAAACATACTTACTTTGTGAACATTCTTCTATTTCGAAGATAAAAAGTCATCAGAGGAGTCGAGATGCATCAGCTAGCAGCTGTAATGTTGACGTTGTGTTGGTTGTATGGGCCAGTCTAATGCCAGCCGTTTTCATATTTTAAAACTAGCGATAATACACTAATTGCACGGAGAAAAGGCCACTGCATAGTTGGAACGGCTGGTAGGTACCTTATATAGCCATTAACGTTACGTTGGGGCTTTAAAGTCTAAACGTACGCTGCGCCTACTTTACTACGAACGCCTATTGAGTGAGAGATCGACAAAGTAAAAAGGTATTTTCCAACATTAGATACATATTCAGTCATTAATTTCGGAAAGTTATAATGAGTTTATATGGAGTTTACGATATTGATGATTGTGGTATGAAAATGTTCGCAGTTGGTGTGAGTTTTCAGTGTCAATTTTTGCGGGCTGTTCCGCAAGCTGCATGCTGAGACTTTTGTGTGCATCCAGATAGGCCTATCTGATATTGCATTGACATGTCTCTTGCGACATGAACAGTTGTGTTGCTGTAGTGTTAGTGTTGGCTCTCAACATGTTCAATAGAGATTCTGCATGAATTGTAGCCATGTGATGTAGGATATACTAATAAGAGCTAACTATGTTGTTGTTGTTAGGTTTTATGGCGTTTTCCACCGTTGTTGGATGATTTTCGCCAGGAAATGTGAGTGAGAGTGAGAGGGTGTAGTTTCTGGTCCTCTCTTCATATTTTTGCTCTGTTAGCATGTAGAAATTTACGCATTGAGCGCTGTACATTTAGAATTTGCGCTCCCATTGGCCGATCCGCTCGAGTGGCTTCAAATTTAAGTGAGAGGGGGCCTACTTTTTAGATATATTGTAGGCTGAAGTCAAGGATGAAGTAAAATGTTGTAGATGGTCATGGTTTAGACTCTAGACTAATTGTGTTAAAAGTCATGGGAGACAGAATAGATCTACATGACCTTTAATAAAACATGAAAAAATTATTAATCAACATTGTTGTACAACTGTTTTTTTTTTTTTTTGTTTCTTTCATCAGATCAAGTGATGTAAAACACGAGAGAGAGAGTGAAGGTAGGGATAGCTAGGACTTCATCGATGTTGGAAGTTTGGAGCTGTATGAGTTTGTGAAAGAAGATCTGTTCACACCGGTGATCCAACACAACACATACACTGTACATGCTGATACAGAATGCCCAGCTTTGAGATACTGCCCTGACTTCAAGTAGGTGGTGCTGTCCAAGTTACCAAGAAGCTGAACACATAAAAAGTATCCAGTCCTGTGTTAAGACACTCCAATAACTTAACTTTAATCTGTTGTAAAGTGCCAGGAAACAGAAAGCTGGACTAAAAACAAAAAAGCTTACATGTACATGTAGCCAATTGGTTGAATAGTGGAAGTGGAAGAAGTAAGCTACACTTTACAAATCAGCAGTTCGATTGCCAATTTGACTGGACCTTACTGATCAAGAGACTCACACTTTGGAACACAAGATGAGCAAAAGAGTGAACACGACGGCTTCGGCAAGGCTAAAGCAGGACTACATGAGACTCAAGAAAGATCCTGTCCCTTACGTTACAGCCGAGCCTTTGCCATCAAATATCCTGGAATGGTAAAATTTATATTCTTTTCCTTCTTCTCTGTCGTCTCTTTTCCTTTTCTTTTTTCATTATCTTGTGATTCTGTTCAAGCTTCTTTCACTTTGCTCCTTTCTTTGAAAGTCTTTACATTTGTAGAACTAAATGAAGTTTTACAGTTTTGTCTCTGCCCTATTTCTAATTGAAATATGATTTTTAAATCTATGTACAAACTCTTGAATAGATATTTTAGGGCAAGTATAGATGATTCATACTTTATTGACATATTTTTTTTCAAAAGGGAGAGGAGGAGATTGCAGAATATTTTGTGTATGAATGAATGTGTCTTGTAATGGTGCAACTTCTTTCCTTACAAAAAAAAGGAACTGAAATAGGATTTTGCCACACATTGCAATTGCACTGAATCCACAAAAATGCAGATTTGGTTCTAAAGAAAATCTAATTCTTAGAGATATACTGAAAGTGCTATTACCAGGGTGGTAGACAAGGAGTTTAAAAATGTAAGAGCAACTGGTTAGAATTTTCACTATACAGGTTTGAAAAGCAGCCACAGGTGAGGTTAATCTCCATTCTTAACTAATATTATTTATGAAATATTAGTCATCAAATTGGTTTGACGATGCCTAAGAATATGGGTCAGATTGTACCAGAGTGCATCTAAGATCCTTAGAGCCCTTCACCCAGCCCAGGGGCAGGGGGGCTTTCACAAAGCCTTTTTTCAATGACAAGTGACAAAATTCAGTGACAAATCTGCTGATAAGGATTTCAGTAGCTTATAAGTATAACAAAAAATGTCATTTGTCACTGATGAAAAGTTTTGTGAAACGCCCCCCTGTTCATACTCCTTCCATTATCTAATTTTACATGATTGAATTTCTGTTCATGGACCACCCTTGCTATTACTTTTTTCTTACAGGCATTATGTTGTACGAGGCCCCAAGGAAACTCCTTACGAGGGAGGACTATACCATGGAAAGCTGGTGTTTCCCAGGGAATTCCCCTTCAAACCTCCTAGCATTTACATGACCACACCCAACGGAAGGTTCAAGACCAATACAAGGTAATACCAATTAAAGATAATCTTGAATTTTTGTAAAATATAAATATAAATTTTAACATAATGATCTAACAAAACATCACCATTTATAAAGACACATATTAGTAGGCTCTCATGGGAAATTTAACACCACTCAAGTGTTTACCCAACAACATATGTTGTCAATAATTATGATTAGCCTTCAGTTTTATGACCAATAGGCCTTCTCGGCATTTTCGTACATTTTCCTCACCTGAAGACTCTCAGAGACTATAGGGGATATTTCTTGACAGAATAACGGTTTTACTGCGTGCGAGACTTGTACGCCCATTAATGGAATTTCCACCAAGACCTTTCTGCACATGAAAACTGACAACAAATCGGCTTTAGTGCTTATGTAAATTAAATTGATTCTTAATAATCAATGAGGCCAGCTGTGAGAAACTAGTATGATAAAAGACCAAATAGGTTTATCACACAATGACGATAGATGATCAATGTGTATTAGAATAGAAATGGGTATTAGTGCTTACCGGTATGTAAAATTGTAAATTAAATGGACCTTACTGTATATACCGGTAATGCAATTATAATACTCTATCTCTACATTTTTCTTTTTCCAGGTTATGTCTGTCTATTAGTGATTTTCATCCCGACACTTGGAATCCAGCCTGGTCTGTATCCACCATCCTAACCGGTTTACTCAGCTTCATGGTCGAAAAGAACCCGACATGGGGCAGCATAGAAACAACAGACTTTGTTGTAAGTCAAATAAACTGCCTCATATAGTTTTTCTAACAAGATTGTGGATGAAAAAGAAGGAACAAATGTTGTCCATAATAATTATTTTAAAAAAAAAAATTTAAAAAAAAAGTTTTTGTTGTTGTTTGTTTTGTTTTTTAACCGAGAGAAGCCTCATCTGCACCAATGCTGTTCTTCCTGAGGCCCTGCAATTACTTTTAACCCAGTAATTGCTGGGTACCCATTTAACACCTGGGTGGAGAGTGGCAAAATGTTGATTAATGTCTTGCCAAACGATGTTGGGCTGGGATTCGAACCCTCAACCCTCGGATTGAGAGTCAATTGAATGATCCGCTATACCCCATAAAATTGTTTGTTCAAGATAATCAAATTCAAATTTACTTCATCATTGTGTTTTGTGACTGGAAAGCCATACAAGTGAGAATTCCTACAAAAAGTTTTGTTCTTCTTCATATAATGTTGATGTATAGTGTATTTATTGACCATTTCACCCTGAAAGCTCAGGCACAGCATCTACATGCACTGAACTGAACAACGATAATGTTCAGTGTACATGTGTAAGTTTAATCTATCTAGCTAGTAAGGTATCCTCTTCCAGCTCAGAGGTAGATTGCAACAATTTTTCCACACACCAAGTTCTCTGATATTCTAGTATACTCTTGCAGTGTCATTCCACTCCATGTCTTAATATTCTCCAGGGCCCCCCTCTTTCAAAGAGTCGATATCAATAACAACTATGTACCTAAGAGATAGGAGACTTTAAACTTCCGATTGATTTGGATCAATCACAACTCTTTGTATTAAGACAGGGCCCAGACCTCCATCTTTGTCTAATCAGGTTCACTGTTTTTCAAAGGGTGCAAATATTGTCTTTTAGGCTATGTACCGTAACTCTAAAGCTAAAGTTAATTAATTTGTGAAGAAAAGTAATTTGCATGTCTGCCATCCATCCATCAGTATTTTTTCCCCTTCAATTTCACTTTAGTTCATGTAACAATTGAATATAGACTCTGTAAGGAAAATTACTGCTGAAGGACTTGCAACTGACTCTAATAATTTCATTTGTCACAGGACCCTGAATAAGGCTAACATAATGTATAAACCTAAGGCAGACAATAGTAAACATGACATACATGTATTATGTAATGCTATTATCATGCCAATGTTTCTTAAGTGGATTAAGTACCTTCAAGGTCAATTGATTATCATTCATACGGATCTCAAACAATTAACTGCTTATAGGAGGCCGGTTTACTTTACTTGTGTGGCCTTTAGATGTATATTAAAAGCATATTGATTGCAAGATGTCATCACTTCCTGTAACTTTTTGAATCACCCTAAATCTCCTTGATATACTAATACAGACTGTGCATTTTTTATGTTAATTGTAAGATAGCAGTACAACATAAGTGAGTCTTGCATTAATCTTCAGGGATTTCATGGTAATAGGAAAATAGTTTGTCAACGTGAAAAAGTCGTAACAGATCTCTCTAAATCACATAATTTATTGTTCTCTCATTGCCAAAATAAAATGTGACAATGCATTAAATCTGGTAATTTATTGTAAATATCCACAAAATTCTTTTACAATTATTTTGTCTACATCAGAGACTCTGCACCCCTGTCATAAAAGGAGTTGTGATTGATTTAAATCATTCACAACTTGATATCAATCGCAGCTCTGTACTAAAGAGATGGGAGTTTCTAAGTTAAGTTTTAAAATTGATATGAGGACTTGCAATTAATATGGATCAGTCTCAACTTTTTGTAAGACAGGTCCCTGGATTGCCCTTCTGCTGTAATACCATTCTAGTTGGCCTGACAATCCTGAACTTAAATATATATGTACAATATGATGATTACTTTTTTATTCTTATATTCATAATTTTCTCCATTTTCTATGCCTTTTACAGAAAAGGCAATTTGCTCATGATAGCGGAGCCTTCAATATAAAAAATTCAACATTTTTAGAGCTCTTCCCAGACACCGCAAAGGTAAGTACTTTTAGATTCCTTTCACCTAAGTCCCCTGCCCTAAATATTGCTTACTTGCTAGATGCCTTGTCTGTTCCAGACATTGGCGATCCAGGCTTTCCATCTACTCCTATCTCTGGTTACTTGTGTTACCAGTCAGTCAGTTGAAAATGCATTTAAACCCCATTTTTAAGGAGATTATGCAGATGTCATTTGTAAGACGCACCTTTTGACCCCCGGGGATGGTGCGTCATGGTTTCGTCATGTTCCCCAAAATCGTGACGCACAGTACCGTCATGGCCGCAAAATGTCCGTCACAATACTGACCCATATGTGCGTCATAGTAAGTCACTTTACCACGTTGCGTCATTTGGTGTGTCAATGGGACCGTCACTTTCTCCAAGCAGAAGTGTTTCTCAAATGTGCGTCATTGGCTAGTCATTTTCATAAAATGGTGTGTCATATGTTTGACTCAAATGTGCGTCGATGGAATGTAATGGTGTGTCACTTTCTGTGACAGAAGGTGCGTCATGGTATCAAAATGTACGACTCACATCGGTACAATGACGCACCATTCCCGGGGTCAAGAGGTGCGTCTTACAAATGACAAGTGCATTACTTAATACTGATAAATAAACACAAATGACTTAAAATTGCTTCAAGGAATCTCTCACTATAATTTTTGTTGTTCAAATGCAATCATTATTAAGAATAGGCTAATTGATTTGCTATTATCTTGATTCTCTTTCATGTTAATTACTACTTAGATTCCATTATTCCATTAGCAAGAAATTTTGATGTGTAGCATGGACTTGTTTTAAACAGGGGGTTAAATACATTACTGGTATTTAGAAGGTTTGGGTCTGCGATGAAAAATCAATCAAATAATAGGGACAGAAACTTGTAAACTTAGTAACTTTTCTATGGGCATGAGTCAAATGAACCTCCAAAAGAAAGGGGGAAAAAAAAGGCATGTTTGTCCTTAGGTACCCTAAATGATAATCATTTTGCCTGAGACATTCTAATATATTTTTCAAGATTCTTAGAGAAATATGATGATGTTGAAAGTAGATGTAGAAAATGTTGATATTACCGTGATTCCAAAATTTGATATCTATAAAATTTGATTTCTATTCTCAAAATTTTGCTGGAGATCCAGTTTAGATATCATAAACTCCTCTGCATTTTTAGTTAGATTTCTCTTCCCAATTATGTATTTATTGTCATTTTCAGGTAACTGTCGAATATAATTAGTTTATTACCATGATAGTAGTATGAATTTTAAACTTAAAGATAAAGTTGAGTTCTGGTCATGTTATTGCATTGTTAAAGAAACGTTGTGGAATCGATCAGAAAGGTTGATCATCTAGCATATAAGTATTGGTGTGTACTGCAAGGTTCTGGAATCAAAGTAAAAGAAATTTGGCCCAATCTTGGTCAAGTTACAAGCACTGGACACAGAAAGATGTATATAGTATATTGGACTACACGAAGATGTGGCGTAAAAATCTGTCCTGATTTTTATGATGTTACATGTCATATTTAGAATATCAAGGCATTTGAAGAGCCATGCATGCTTTTCGGAAACATTTTTTATCTAATGTCCTTCAACACTTGCAAAATACAATGATAATGATTACAAATTATTGTTCACCTCTTCCCAGAACTCAACCTTCTCTTTAAAATCTATCCTTCTTTGCAGGAGATAAGGCAGAGAATAAAGAAAGAAGAAGAGGATCTCAAACAGCGGTCCGAATCCAACGCCAACAGGTCCCCGGACCACAGTCAGATGAGGACAAGGACGAATAACTTTAACGCCCCCGCGGAACGACCCGCTGGGATCGTCGGTAGCACCATGGCCAACGTGCTCGTTATCGTGGGCTTTGCTGCGTTTGCATGGACAGTCAAATATGTACTGCGTAGCATAGCCAACACAGACTGATAGGGAACATGGAATTTTGCAACGGACATTTAATTTGTAAGCGAAGCTGGTGGAATTTTGAGAGGGGTATTTGTAACAAGGACAGAGCTTTATTCACAAACGTGTCCTAGGTACAAGTTCCCTGACATCCCACTGAAATGTGTGCATTAAAATCTGAATGCGTTTCAGTGGGATATTTATGGTTAACGTCCTGTAGCAAGATATCAGTCTACATTTGCCACACTTGTCTCAGATGAAGTAAATGGGTAGCAGTAGGAAGTAATTCCTTGAATGCTACAGCCAAGAAAAGTAATCTACAGGTCTTTAGAAGCCCAAAGACATTGATGAAAATGTGTGATATGTGAAGATAATTACAAGAAGTGAACATACTTGTAGTTACTATGAATCATTAATTTCATTGTAAGTATGCCAGGTATTTGGTGTAATAGATTATTCATCATCTTCACTACAGACAGTCATGGTTGTTTTGATAACCGTAGAGAAGTGGTCTCGTAACTGGGAGGTCATTGGTTCGCAATCAAGTCAATATGCTCATGCCCTTTGGTATTAAGGCATTAATCTGTATTACTGAGTCCCTCAGAAAGGACCTAAAGCCATCTGTCCATTTGCTACTTACATACAAACATACAAATGCTTTCTATCAGTCTCATGACAATTTATAGAGAATGAATTTGGGCTACTATTTGATATGAAGGGAATCCATGCAGATGGTCCAATCTGACACTTGCTTTATTGTCATCTGTTCTTACTATCTTTGCTCCAGTGATATTTACTTTGATGACATTTGGTCAGGGATTTATTTCTTCAAAATTGTTTGGTTAGGGTTAGGTTTAAAGCTAGGTGTAGTGCTATGTCCAGGGATGCATTTGGTTATGACAAGCAAATTGACTGTGGGCAAGTATTGTGAAGTGAATCCTCTTCCAGAAAGTGCCAAGCAGATAACCTGACAGTCTGACACTTGCCTTTTTGCCATCTGTTCTTACAATATTTGGTCTGGCGACATTTGGTTCGGTGATAGTTGGTCAGGGCTTTATTTCTTCAGTTATTTTGGGTTAGGGTTAGGTTTCAGGTTAGGTGTAGTGTTTGGTGCGGGTTGAAGTTGGTGTAAGGAATAGTTAGCCGAGCAATGATAGCCGGAGCATGTGTCAATGAACAGTCGTGCAAAGGCCTACAGTAAACGACTAAATTATTCATACCCTTACCAATTTTTTGTTTTTAAGTATGTGGAAAATTGATTTATCCCGATTTGTGTTTCTTGAGAATGTGACGTATTGAAGCTAACATTGAAAAGTATTCATCAAAGGCCCTAATTCAACCAGTCCACCTTTCATTCCAGAGTTACAAAACAAAACAAAAAAACATCAAACTTACAAGGGGTATGAATAATTTAGTTGTTAACTGTATATACATGTAGTGAGGTACTGTAAAAAACCATAATCTCTCTTATTTTTAGAGAGAAAATGAAATCTCTGAGGGGTGCAGTAAATTAAGGTGTGTGAAGTGGAGCCATTCATCTGTTAAAAAGGGAACAGAGTAACTATTTTCATTTGGGCTCTTTGACAATATAAGGTACATTCCTCTGCTTGTATAACGAGTCAATCATGTAATATCACCTCTATCTGTAAAACTATCTCACATGTGTCGGTTTACCAACATCTAGCCTTCGTTTCGCCATGTTCACGCTCTCTCGCTCGTGGTGCATTGCATTTCTAGTGCATTCATGTCTTGTAATAATGATACCTGTTTCTTTGATATACAACGCTTTACCAGTAAGTGGCCGAAGCGCTTACAGTATTATTATTATTACCCGGGGCCCTGTCTTACAAAGATTTGCGATTGATCCGAATCAGTCGCAAGTTTGCACTCTCCTCTTATGTACAGGTACAGTTGCGATTGATATCAATCGCAAATAACTTGCAACTCTTTATAAGAGCATGTATGTACCCTCACATACAGTGCATCACAATGTTGGTGTCGTCTCTTAATCTCTATGCCGTTACGGTGTTCACCAATGTACCTGTTGTATTTTCGTTGTCTCCTCCAGTATCTCATGCATGACTGATTCTACTGCAGTGCAGTGTTTGTAGTGTGGCTACCACCGTGCTAGTCTTCGTGTGTTACATATCGAGGGTTCAGTGACACAAAGACGTAACTCCATATTTCCCCAAATGAGTATTTGATATCATAATGTTCAGAAAAATGTGGGCTTTCCAGGAAACACAAAGACTTAAATCCACCCAACACCCCATTGAAGTCAATGGCTGGTGAAACATAAACTTAACTCCTTAATAAGGCCCAAGTGCTCAGTGACACATACTTTTTCTCAAAATGGCCAAAATAGAGTTACGTCTTTGTGTCACTGACCCTTCGATATAGGCTAATTTGGAGACATCTCATTTTTCTCATTTATGTCACTGGCACCTGGCATCCTCGTCAATGGACACTTTACGGATGATTACCATCGTAACCAAAATTGCCTGTATTGTCAAATTTGCCGAGTGAGTGAACTTTCATGTTGAACAATAATTTCCAACCTCCATCTATACAGGTAAACTGTGAAGAAAAAAATCCTCCAAAATTTCATCAGCTTTGATATTTGTACTGTAAATAGATAAAAAGATTATATATATGTAGTAATTATAGTTATGTTAAATGATTAATGAGACAATTATTTATACAAGTCATTGCCATATCTTTATACTAAACACTTATAAAGGATGTTCTAATGTCTCCTGTGTAACACCATAGGGATTCTCTCCCCCAAATGTGGTTTTCAGGTATGTGGTATATGCTGTAATTCATTTATTGATTTGCTGCTGCTATGTCGGGTAATAATATGATTGCAGGGCCCTCAGGGAGAACGGTATTGATACCAATGAGGCTACCCTGGGTAAAAATTATAATTATTATTGTTAATGCTGTGGGGCTTTTTTTTAATGCACACCAGCATCTATGAAGCCAGTCGCACACAATGACCATAAGGTATGTTTTGTTAACATTGTCTTGATATTACTGGATCGTGTCGTCTGTTGTTAGCCAAAAGGGCTTAACCCTGTATTAAATAATACAAGTTAAATAGTCGATGCATCTGGCTTTGAACGGACGATGTAACAAGTGATTGAAATATTCAGTTTATGGTACAGCCCATACTTCTGCTGCTAATTAAACTGACCGTGAGTAAAATGGATTTTTACACACAGACCAACCAGTCAACGTGCATAGAAGGGAGATGAGCCTCATGGAAGAAATAAACAGTTTTGACTCGTACCTACACTATATTATTGTCTATCCTTTAGTTCACTGTACTGTTACATCCTTGCACCAAATTGGGTTAAACATGGCTATTACAGATAAAGTGCCTTTGGAAATTTGCGATAAATAGACTTTGCTAGAAGTTGCATGTAGACTAGACTTAATAGTTGCAATTTAGATTTAACAGGTGAGCTTGCACTAATAAGTAGTTAATAAATGTCTCTACTCAATTTTTTAAAGTCTTTAAGTAAACTGCATTAATTTCTCACATCAGCACTAATATTGTCATATTTTGCTACTTGTTTGGGATGCCATATAATTGAAGTAGAATCTAATTTAAAGCTCATATTTTGTATTCTGTAAACTAGACACTGAAGGAAGGTTTACTTTTATATGTTAAATATTAATGTAGTATCTGTATTTTGTATTGATCACATTCAATCTTAAATCTGAACATTATTTAATTGGTGATATATTTTATTCAGACCGTAATTGTAGTTTGAAACCTTTATGATTGAAACCAGAGCTTTGTTAACATCCAGTGGCGGATCTGGGGGGGGGGGGGGGGAGGGGGCTGCCCCCCCCCCCCCCCCTCTGGAAAAAAAATGTGTAAAAACTTGTAAATTTAACCTTTTTTGGGAGTTGGCCCCCCCCCCCCCTGGCACTCAAGGGGGGGGGGGGTGCAAATTTTTGAGGGCCAAAAAACACACAAATTTGCTCACTACCACCCCCCCCCTCCCCTACATTGAGGGCATTTTCGGCCGGCGCGATTTTTTAATTTTTGGGAGCAAAAAGAAAAAAAATTGGGCCCCCACCCCTAAGATTTCCTGGATCCTCGCCTGTTAACATCCACTGGTGTTTACCAGAACCACAATGCACCATAATATGAAGGGAAAAAAATGATTACCGGTAATTTTGAATATTAAATAATTTGTGTGTATCAACAGTCTGAAATCAATATATTTTAGATATAGATAAGGGTACTAATAATATGTTTGCAGAATAGTATTAACACTGACAAGGCTACCCCGGGAAGAAAAAAACAAACATATTAAACAATTATTAGTAAATAGTAATATTGTACGGTACTTGTAATTTCTTAGAAGATAAAGTTGCAAATTTGTGATGAAAATTTACAGGAATTAGAAAGGTCATCATATTGTGAAAATCTTGAAACATTCCTGAGAATATAAGAAATCATTTCATGAGACTCTGAATCCGGTTTAAAATAATACTTTATGCTATCAGCAGCGGAAATATTGATTTATTGAACTTTGGAAAAAAATAATCTGCCAACCTGATGTTTTTTTGTAGACATTGGGATGTTCAGAGACTGGATTTCCTCCACAATTAATAATGTACAATTCATTCATTGTGGAAATGAAACTGGTCTACCGTAACCGTTTTATCCGATACACATTAGGAGAACAGATAAGAGGCAATCATAATATCCCTTCATGTATGTTTGAAAAAGAAGCTTATTTGATTACACTTTTTGCTAACAATCTTTTCAAATAATCTCTAGTATATGACTTTAAAAATGATTTATGTTTTACCTAAATTTGTTAAGCTTAAGTATTAGTGCTATGTCACATTAAGGGTCAGTGGCACAGCCCCCGGGCAGACACAGGGAGGGACACTTGCATTGTGATGACTTTTCCTACCACTTTGGAGGGGGGTGCCATCGCCCACCCCTCCCCCCCCCCCCCCCCCCCCCATTCCTGAGTATTTTTACTATCTCTTAAGACCATTGCCACCCCCTATGATTTTACCTGTTATCCCACTGATATTGCTGCTAATTCACTTATAATTAAGACTATGTTTCAGCTTATAAATCATGCTTATCTAGTATACAATCACTACGATATATATTTTTGCTTTACCAGTATTTTATTCTAATTCTCTTTTTAAAAAAAACACCATTTATCAATAGTTTGCATGCTTGCCTTCTAATAATCATTAATTATTTTTTTCACTTCAAATTTGATGATGTACATGTATTCCCATAAAATATGAACAATTTTTTACCTATGTATGTGGAGTATTAATATTTCATCTGTTCAGAGCCCTAGAAGGGCTTTAACATTCTTCTGGTTTACTACAGTTTTGTAGTCTACATGTAGTCCCACTGTACTGATTTTCATGTCGGCAGTAGATGCATGCGATGTTGCATGTGCACTCCATATTTGCCGAAAGTACTCTACCGTGAAAAGCGGGCTCTTGTCCGTGTATATCAATCACTTTATAGAATATGTGTAAATAAAAGGTAATGATATAAGTGATCCTTTTTATAGTGTTTGATGTGTTCTGTTTTATTTCTAGCAATCGTACAAGATGTCTTGTATTTTATTTTTAAAGAAAGAAGTACTTCTATAAACACTTGCCTACAATCTTTCACTTTCTATCCAGTCATACTTGGATCTTTTTCATCGCTCCCAAACTTCCTACATGTGCATATTCTGTAAATCTTGTTTTGTACCTCCCCTTTTTTCCCCTTTCCTGTCGATTACCGTAACTGTTTCATACCTCGGTTACACTGGCCAACTCCCATGTCTCTATCCCCTCTTCCTTGCATTCCTTTCCTTCTCTCTTTCTCCATTTCCCTATCCTGCCTTTTTAGCTGTCTCCCAATGTCTGTCTCTCTTCCTCTACTACATTCTCCTTCTTTCATCTCTTTCTCTCTCTCTCTCTTTCCATTTACCTCTCCCTCTCTCTGTCTTTCTCAGAAATCCTGATGATAGTTTAGGTCTCTTCATCTTGGACGTATGTATCTCTTTGAAACATATTTCAATGAAAGACACCCACTCAAAATTCTTGTAACATTACCATGTTATTCATATATTGTCCTGTAAAGTCAAGAGATTGAAATGAAAAATAAAATGCAATAAAATTCAAATCATAAACAGAATACACTGTTACACCAAGTATACACAGTTATAATATGAATTTACTGATACACGTAGCTTTACATGATGCACCTTTCAAAGAGAAAATTTACATCGAAGGATAATATTCTATGTCCAAAACATTAGAATAGGATTGAAAGTTTGAAACCACATCCTTGATATACTAGTACATGTTAGCTCATCTCTACAAAGTTCACGTGATTGGTAAATGCATATTTTGCAATATAATTCATCATGCATGCACACAATTGGAGGGTTAGTGCCATTGTGTTATATATAGCACTGCTATGCATGGTTCCCAGATTTTCTTTGGAATCACAGAACATGCAAGTTGATAATGATGGATCCTTAATTCATTTTAATCTTTAATTTGAAATGCATGTTCTGACCAAGAACGTTGAATTTGTGAGACATTGTAGTGCAAGAGCCGCGACAAGAGGCCATCATTATCATCATTTCTCAACGGCATATGATATAAAAAGTTGTTTGATTCATTTTGTTGACCATCTGCAAAAAAATCCAACAGTTTTTCTCGGTCTTTCCCATCAGCTACAGTACACACTGAATTGGGTTATTGTTCAAAGTCTTTTGCGATCACATGACCATTAGGTCACGACGAGGCAGATGGGTTGGAGCTCAGTCGTAGTTTGCGGACGCTCTCGGCCAAAAGGTCGTCTTGCGTGACGGGGCCTGATAGGAAGCCCTCTGGGTTCTTTGCGAGCGTTGCTAAGAGTCCTTCCTTGTGCTTCTGGCTGGCTAGCTCAGCTAAACACTGGATGGATGGGAAAGAACAGATGAGATCATTGACATTGGCACAAAAAAATTTGGAAAATAATTAACACACATAGATACCCATGTATCGCAGTATGTAAGCACACATGAACAAATGGTCTCCAGAGAGCTGGGGAGATCCTAAGTCGAACTAAACTCTAAGTTGGACTTAAACATTATAGAGAGTCATTTGTGAACTTAAAATAACATATATTCAAAAGCACAAATTCAAGTATTTAGACTTATGAAATCATGTGAAATCTCCCTGATAATAGAAATGTGAATGATTTGAATCAACATTTTATGCCATTTAAAATAACTTTTACAAAATATTTCTAAAGATGCTAACGGCTTTTCATAGTTGTTAAGTCCAACTTAGGATCTTTGTGAAACACTCCCCAGGAAGGGTATTAATTCATACATTCACCATAGAGTCAGCGACCTTCTGGCTCTAAACAAATGATTTAAGGAATTGTTTTGGGTATGATCCTTTTTATTTTTTCTCACTTTTTAGATTATGAATCAGAAGAAAATGAAAGACGAGGCAAAAAAATAATTTCAAAAACAAACATTGATTTCGAAGAGGTGAAAGAAATCCAGATTAACGGGTTTACTATTTACTAATGACCAAATCTAGATATAAAGTAAGTAACAGAATGAATCCTTTACCATATGATGATTACATTTACACATATAAACTTTTTTAAATACAGGCAAGCCACTCGGTAGTATCTTTGAAATTCAGAATTTACCTTAAATGTCTTTGGTTCATAGATGGCTATATGAGAAAGGACCTTCCTGTCAAGCCGAATATTGTGCTGTTAAAAAAAAATAGGAAGAAGAAAAATAACATTAAAATCATTTCAGCAGAAATACATAAATTTAACTTGGCTATGCATGGTTAATTATGGATTAAATATAAGCAATTTTTCATAATGTGTTTTAGAGTACACTCAACAGTTGAAATTTTTGAAACACATTTTGTGGATTTTGATGTTTTATTGAAATTGGGTCAATTCTATGTAATTTCTAAATGAAAGATAAACTTTGATAATCATGATACATGTATAAAATTTGATCTTAAAATGGAATTAAAGGAACTTAGATATATTTGTTGATCATAGCTGATTGAATGAAAAATCCACTGTTTATGGTTAAGACCAAGCTAAGATTTCTAGAAAGCTAAACATTTCATGCGACTACAAAAATTGAAACATTGCATACACATACACCTGATCATCTCAATTCTTACACAGGTTTACATTGCTTGAATTGAAATAACAAGCCTGTTTTAATTTCTACAGAATTCACTGATTAGCAATGTAATCTTACCTTCAAAAGATTTCCAATGAATGGTCCATACGTTAACCCATGCTCCTGGACAGCGGCACTGATTCTCAGGTTCCAGAGCTAGAGGAAAAATGACCAAAAAAAGGAGAAAAGATGGATGGTGGATCTTAGACACATGCAATATATATGGCTTGATTTTTATCTAGGGTAGTGTGTCTAGACGCTTTCCAAAACTAAAAAGTAACCACTATTGCCTTTGTATGCATCAAACAGCAAACCATCATAAATATTCATCCTTTATAAATATTGTCTAACATAAGTCTTGAAAGACTTATGAAACATTGCATGTGAACTTCTTCAAACTACTGTCTTAAAGGTAAAGACCAGTATTGGTAACGCCCCAATTTCAAAAAATGAAATGGAAGCTCTCATTACCAATCATGTGAAAGAATATGTTTTGACTAATACATGATGATAAAAAATTTGCCGGGAAACCGCCTACTAATTCATATATTTGGTAAATTTATTTCTCTCATGGTCGTGTGAGAGAGATAGGGTAGTCCCATATACATCTTTCTGTGTATAGTGCTTGTAACTTTACGAAGAATGGGCCAAATTTCTTATCATTTTGATGATTCCAGAACCTTGCAGATGCTAGATGCTAGATGATCAACCTTTTCTGATCGATTCCACAACGTTTCTTTCACAATGCAATCGCATGACCATTACTGGTCTTTACCTTTAAATCAACTGTCCGTATGTACACAACCTGGGGGTGGGGTAATCAGATTTGGTTTGGACGGGGGTGTGCCGCTAAAACCCCGAAACTCATACGCATTTGGGTAATTTGTCTCGAAATAAACGCCCATTTTTCACAATTTCTGGGTGTTTGCCATGCAAGTATTTTGGAAATTTTGAAAAAACGGACCCATGTTTTGGGATATTTTTGTGAAAGATGGGACCCATGTTTAATGATAATTTTTGTTAAAGTAAGTAACCCATTAGAGCGGCACACCCCTGTAAGTCTAAATATGTGAGTACCCCCCTCCCCCCTGCGGGTCAGTACACAACCTGTCCGGACACACAACGTCTGGGTATAGTAACATTCTTACCCTCCTCATCTGTCCCTTTTTCTTCTTGCGGCCGGCGGTTGAATTCTGCCATGCCCTCCTCACAGCTCTGACAGCCACTGAAAAGCAATTCCTCCTACGGCCAAAGTATTGCTAGAAAAGAATCAAAATGCAGAGCACACATCGATGTTTAGACCTCTAGATCATTTTTGCGTCACTGAACAAAATTATTGAATAGATCTATGAATGATTATGAATAAAAAATATTAAAAAAAACACCAACTGACCAAGTCCAAACAAACAATTGCCAACATAGGTCTAGATCTAAACATTATTAATGCTTGAGTATTGATCTAAATCTTTACGGTATTCCCAGCACTAGCAATTTATTCCCCCTTTTGAATTTTTGCTATCATCAAAGTTACAATGACATGTTTGGTCAAGCATAAAATGGATTTTTAAGTTCTGTCTCTCGGCTAAACATGCTCACACACGAAAAGAAACATGTGGGACTGGCCACAAATGTCATGTTCACAAATGATCAATTTTCGTGCTCTTACCGTTGACTGGTCAAGGTAGAATCTCTTCCTCCAATATCTGTCCGGTCCCCTTGACCTGATCATCCTCACAAGAGATAAGTGGACCATTTTTATATCAATTTATATCTCATACAAATATATTCTCAGTCTCGATTTCGGCTCCGCAGCATGTTGTTATAAAACTCCGGCCGATATCCGATCCGATGTTGTTTCATTCAATCCCTTATCCGGATATACATTTCGACGTGATTGTTTACATAAATAAAACAAATAAAAGAAAAAAGAGAACTACCATATCCGGCCTAGTTTATGGTCCCCCCTTTTACAAATATTTTCCACATCTGCTCTCTCTCTACTACTCTATATGAATTTCTAGCCATTTTCATTTACCCTAGCTCCTTTATATATAGACCCCCCATCTCTCTCTCTCTCTCTCTCTCTCTCTCTCTCTCTCTCTCTATCTACTTCCCCTCCATCTATACCCATCACTTTCTCTCTCCATACCTATCACTTTCTCTCTCTCTCTCCATCTATACCCATCAATTTCTCTCTCTCTCTCTCTCCATCTATACCCATCACTTTCTCTCTCCATACCTATCACTTTCTCTCTCTCTCTCTCTCCATCTATACCCATCACTATCTTTCTCTCTCCATCTATACCCATCACTTTCTCTCTCTCTCTCCATCTATACCCATCACTATCTTTCTCTCTCCATCTCTCTCTCTCTCTCTCTCCATCTATACCCATCACTTTCTCTCTCTCTCTCTCCATCTATACCCATCACTTTCTCTCTCCATACCTATCACTTTCTCTCTCTCTCTCTCTCTCTCCATCTATACCCATCACTATCTTTCTCTCTCCATCTATACCCATCACTTTCTCTCTCCATACCTATCACTTTCTCTCTCTCTCTCTCTCTCTCCATCTATACCCATCACTATCTTTCTCTCTCCATCTATACCCATCACTTTCTCTCTCTCTCTCCATCTATACCCATCACTATCTTTCTCTCTCCATCTCTCTCTCTCTCTCTCTCCATCTATACCCATCACTTTCTCTCTCTCTCTCCATCTATACCCATCACTTTCTCTCTCCATACCTATCACTTTCTCTCTCTCTCTCTCTCTCTCTCCATCTATACCCATCACTATCTTTCTCTCTCCATCTATACCCATCACTTTCTCTCTCTCTCTCCATCTATACCCATCACTATCTTTCTCTCTCCATCTATACCCATCACTTTCTCTCTCTCTCTCCATCTATACCCATCACTATCTTTCTCTCTCCATCTATACCCATCACTTTCTCTCTCTCTCTCCATCTATACCCATCACTATCTTTCTCCGCCTATACCCATCGCTTTCTCTTTCTCTCATCCTATTCTGTAGTCATTGTTGAATGGCATCATCTCGAGTTCATGAATCACAAAGAATGGGTAAATAATATTCTAACATTCACAATGACCCTCACATGTCTAGATACTTCTTGGAAAAATAATTTCTTTAAAAGTGATCCCTAATATAAAACTCCATGTCAAAACCAGCAAAAAGTTCATAACCAATATCAAGACACATACCTCTTGATTTATAACCAGGAGCTTTTGTGTAAAAGTATGTATCTGTAAATGTAATTTTTTTTTATATGACAAGTCATTTCATTTCAACTTCAAATTCTATGGGAATCAATTCTGAACTCTGGAAGCATTAGATATACTTCGAGGGAGGGAATAAAGAAAAGGAGAAGAATTTGTACATGCAACTGGTACATTTTGATAAGATTTATTATTAAATGTATATATCTTCAATTATTTCAGCTCAGACCCAACTTTTGGCTATTTAGAGATACATAAAATATACAAAACTGCACTTACATGTGTAAAAAATACATGGTGAAATATAGTAAATAATAAAATAATTTAATAATAAACACATTTTTACTTTACTATCAAACGAGTGATTGTAATACAGGGTTTGCTTGTCAATCATTGGTAAAAAGTTCAGCTGCTTCATACTATTAAATTTGACTGCGTGTTCGTATATGGCATTTTAACTGTTTCTTCTACTACTAATAAAAGTGGGGCTTGTATAGCGCCCATGTCTGTCAGACTTGACACTCCTGGCACTCCAAAATTATTACCCCGGCTAAAGCATGGCTGCCATTATAGAGAATTAGCATTTTAAGGAAATAATTCTTGCCAGGTACTATTTTACTTAGTCTTGCCAAAGGACATTATACCACCGAAGGAGAAGGTGTGGTTCAAATGGAAAATCTAATTGAATAAAAACCATGCCAGGACTGTGACCAATCAGTATATGATATGAATGCAAGGGTGACACAAGAAGATATACCATCATACCAGGGGGGGGGGGGTTCACAAAGATCCGAAGTAGAACGTAACTCAGTTGGACTTAAAAATAAAGGAGAGCCATTTGTAGCCTTAAAATGAAATATATTAAAAAGCAGATATTCAAGTATTTTAGACTTTTCATAAATTCCACATAAGAACATGAAATCTCCTTGATAATAGAAAATATGAATGAATTGAATCAACATCTTATGCCTTTTAAAATAATTTTTACAAAATATTTTCAAAGATGCTAACGGCTTTTCATAGTTGTTAAGTCCAACTGAGAAATAAGTTCAACTTAGGATCTTTTTTAGTTGCTTTATAAAAGAATTCACAGAAGGCGCTGATATACCACCTCCTCTGGCAAACTGTTCCAGGTACCAATTACAAAATTTGAAAAGAAGAATTTTCTCACATCAGGCCTTGTATACTGCCTACTGAATTTCAGTCAATGACCTCTTGACTGGTTCCCCTTCCTTACTACGTACAAATATATAAATAAAAAGATACCGGTATTCTGAAAAATTGATCAAACTAAGTTGGGAGGAAAAAGGAACATTCTGAATTTCCAGTAATATAACTTACCACTAGCTTATAGTGCTAATGGGAAAGTTGTTGATCAAAACAAACAAATAATTTCATTGGCATGATATAATGTGCATTTATAATAAAAACAATCCAGTGAGTTGAATATAATTTGCTAATCTTTGATCAGACTTTGCTTATTACATGTACACCAAAATATGAGTCCATTCCTGTTGCTGGACATCGAGTTGTTCATGATTAGGAGTGATTTGATAAAACAATAGTCACTGAAGTGTCTATAATCTATATAGAGGAAATACACAATGAAATCACTTTCCATGATCAAATTGGCAATTCCATGTTGATTTTGTAATATACATGGTTATTTCTTAAACTAAGAAAGGGTGTAACATACAAGTATTGCTACCAATTTGAGCAAGAAAGGCAGATTCATTGAGACCTTATCTCAGAACTACTATGGAGCATGTATCTCTAACCCTTATATAGACACACAAACACAAATGATATATTTTCTAGCATAACAAAATCTTTATCCTTACTTACAGTGGTGGTTATTTTACCTGACTGCTAAGAAAGCATACAGTTTTTTTTTATACAGGGGTACATGATGGACATGGCCCTTAATATCAACTCTAGACCCCCCCCCCAAGAAAAAGGGGGGGGGGGGGTACACAAAAGAGCCTTGCATACAGACCCTCAAAATATTGAACTCCAGGGGGCCCATTTTTTGAAACCATCTAACTTGAGAAGTCTTACTTCTTGGACATCTCATTGACATATGTGTTATAGAATTAACCCACGATTCTATGGGATGTCCAGGAGCTGCCTGGGAAAAGACTGCACCAGGGTGGTCCATGAGGGGTATCAACATTAGCAGTGACAGGTTTGAATTTTGAAATTACAGGTTTTAAAATAAGAGACCAGTTAAACTTCTTTTCCAACCAAAACTATTTCTGTAATATTGGTCATGAAATTAAATAAAAATGCTCCAAAGTAAAGCTCCGATTGCACCAGAGGGCAAATAAGGACCCTGGAGCCCTGGGGCCCGTTTCTCGAAACCGTAATAAGTCTAACTTCTTGACTATCTCATTGAAACGTGTGTAAATTGTATAACTCAGGTTTCAATGGGATAGTCAAGAAGTTAGACTTATGACGGTTTCGAGAAACGGGCCCCTGTACCCTGGGCAGAGGAGACTTTGTTCTTCATACACATCTGTTCATACTCCTTCCACGTTTCAATTTTACATGTTTGGATTTTTTTGTGTGAACCATCCTGCTGCAGATACATTTGAATTTTGTGAGTATGCCTGCCCTGGTAAACTGTATATGGGTAAATCCAGAGGATAAAAAATGATGGTTGGTTGTTCATTGGGCAGATGCCCTTCTTAAAAATGAAAATCATAGGAAAGAAGTGCCAAAGGTATTGCCAAGACTTCTTACAAATCATACTCTGTATCTTTAAAGCCCCACTGTACTACTTGCTCCCTCTATCTAGAAAACAATGCATAGGTGACCATGTTCCCCATGATCCTTTTTTTCTTATGTTAATTGAGAGCTGATTTGATGAGATAGACACTTGTCAGTGACCTTGCAGGGAGGTCTAATCCCCCCTGGCCAAACTAGTACAGACGGGCTTTAAAGTTCATGGATTGACTGAACTATACATCGGTAAGAGCATCTTTCCGTGCATGTGATCTTCTGTGTGAATCCAGCGAGCTTCTCCACTTGAATTTCTTGTTGCATCTCTCACACTCATACGGCACCTCGCCCGTGTGGAGTGGCATGTGACGCCGATAGTGGTTTGAACTGCCGAATGATTTGCCACAGATCTCGCACACATAGTTCTTGCTCGTCTGCTTCTGCATTGTACCTCTTTCCAAGGTAGTACTACCACTAGTACCAGACTTCTCTGTAGACCTGATCCCTCTACTCTCTGGCTCATGTACCTGGTGAGGTGGAACATTGGCTGTAGGACGTTGGGTTGTTTGCATCACGGGTCTATCAATTTTCTCAGGGTCAGTCCCATCCATACGCTTTTTTGTCTGGACTCTCTGGAGATAGGCCTCATCTCCGTGTATATACATGTGAATCTGCAGCTCCAAGTCAGAGACATAATCCATTCCACATTGGGGACAAACAAACGGTTTCAGAGAAGTGCTTGCCGACTTCTCATCTTGACTACACCCAGGGATCGGTTCGGAGTGCTCTTGGGTCAGCTCGTTAGCAATGAGAGACACGTAGTCAGAGCTGGAAGTAGGTCCTTTCTTTTTGTTGTGAGACTTGATATGTGAATCTAATGAGCTTCCCCACTTGAATGCCTTTTCACACTGGTCACACTGAAATGGCTTCTCTTCTGTATGCAAAAGCTTGTGCCGATGATAATTGTTTTTTATATGGAACACTTTGCTACAGACTTCACATTCAAAGTTTTTAATTATTTTCTTTTGCTTATGAAATTTATCTGTTTCTAAAGGGTTACCAATCCTTCCTGTGTGGGGCTTTTCATTCCCCTTGGAATTCTCAGGATTGTTCTGTTTTGGTGCTTCTTTCGCTCTACCAGAAAGTTGTGCCACATCTGTATCAGTTCTTGGCACAGATATTGGATCATACTTTGTGTCTTCATGGGTGGAGTTGTGACTTTGTAGTTGCATTTCCGTGTCAAAATCCATTCCACATACCAAGCAAATGAACATTTCGTCTCCAACAGTCCCCTCATTTTCTTCAAGGGTTCCATCTGGTTGCTCTTGCATGAGTTCACCAGACTTCTCAGCATCAATGAAGGGAAGAGAGTCATCACTAGAAGTTCCTCCTTTCTTTTTGTCGTGAGACTTCTTGTGCGAGTCCAGCGAGCTTCTCCACTTAAATTTCATGTGACAAAGACTACATTGGTATGCCATCTCACCTGTATGGATAGGCAAGTGTCGCACATACCGGCTGCGATGGTTAAACACCTTGTTGCAATACTCACAAACAAACTGCCTCCTGTTCCGCTTTCTCGAAAGCACACCTGTCTCTGACGTAGTGCCTTCAGGCTTCCTTGTGTGGCACTTCTCCTTATGCTTTGGTTCAACATTGCTCTTTTGAGTTACATCCTTAGCCCTGTAAGAAACTTGAGCTAAACCTGTATCAGTCCTTGGCGCTGATCGTGAGAAGTACTTGTGGACTTCATGTACAGAAGCGTGACATCGCAACTTGTGTTCCGAGGTGAAACTCTTTCCGCACTGCCCGCAAATGAAAGCTTTGTCCAAACCTCTTTCCTCTTTAACTTCAGGAATCCAGCCTGATTGCTCTAGTGTTGCCTCATCAGATTGCTCAGAATCAATTACGGAGATAACATCATGATTTGTAGCATATACATGTAAATCCCTTTTTTCATGTGTTTTCTTATGTGAAGCCAGTGAGCTCGCCCACATGAATCTCCTGTTGCACTTAACGCATTCAAAAGGCTTCTCTCCTGTATGTAAACGCTTGTGCCGCAGATATTTATTTTTACAGAGGAAAACTTTGTAACAAAACTCGCATGCAAACACCTTGTTCCTCTCCTTTACTGCACTTGGATGTGAGGTAACAGCAGTGTTTGCACTCGGAGTGGAAACTCTTGGCTGCCTGGTCTTCCAAGATATCCCCCACTTTCTTGATCCCTGAAGCTGCTTCTGTTGCACTACGCCAACAGCAGGATCAGATGTTTGGTTAGTTCCTGCACCAGTCATTGGCAAGATGGACTGGCTATTCTCTGTAGGCATCGTGCTGGACACCACCACACTTCTCTTCGCGGGATCAACCCTATCACTCTGCCACTGCATTTGAATTTCAGACGTTGGAGGATCAGACTTACGCCCATCAAGTACACACGTGTGACTCTGCAGCAGGATCTCCGTGGCACAATTCCCTCCACACAGACTACAGACGAATCCATCGTTGGCATTTTGAGTCACTTCGCCATGTCCATTGACCTCAGGAACACATTCTCCACTATGTCCCTGTTGGTGATCATTCAGATGCTCTGCAGAATGCACAAGAGAAATATCGCTGGTGGAGGGTTTATCTTTTCCACGATACTTCAGACACGCATGTGTCACCAGTGAGCTCCTCCACCTGAACTTCCTGCCACAAACCCCACATTTGAATGGCATTTCTCCTGTATGTATCCGCCTGTGTCGCTGACAATGAGATTTAAATTTAAACACTTTGTTGCAGATATCACACGGAAAGGACTTCCTTCTTTTGCCTTTCATCTTTACAAGAGGAGGACTTTGGTCTCCTCCTTCACCAGACATGGGCAAAGAGTTTTCCCTGAGTTGTTTTGGATGAAGTTGTTCATTTTGTAAAGCTGTCTGGGACAGCAAGTCCTCATACACAGGATTTATTTTGGTAAAATCATCTTTACCTGCTTGAGATGCCCAAAAGATACTTTCACTGTCTTCACTGTTACATGTCTGAAGCAAGTCAAAAAAGTTTGCTCCATCACTGTCCAAGTGTTGGTTGACCTTTTTGTCAATCAGAGCACTTGCATCGCTCTCTTCATGAGAAATAAACACACCAGTCTGCTTCACTTCTTGCTTGCTACTTGCCTCTTGGAGTTGATCACGATTGTCCATCTTTGGTACACCATGAATTTTGAAATGCTTCATCAGCAACTCCTTCTGTCTGTATCCCGTTCCACATTGTGAGCACACAAAGGGCCTCGCTGAGCTGTGTACCTCCATGTGATGTTGCAAGAGGAATGGACCGGCAAACCTGCTATTGCAAATGTCACACTCGTACAAGTTCCTCTGGAAATGTCCATCCAGGTGCTGCCGAAACTGTCCCTCCCGATTAAAAGTCTGTCCACAAACATTACAAAAGAATGTCTCTAACCTTGTACTTCCAGTGATATCCACCGCATCATTACTTGGTATCACTCTCAACGGATCCTGCGAGCCTGACTTCACTTCCTCGTGCTCCTGAAGGTGACATTCCAAAGACAGCTTTGATTCGAACCTCTTTGAGCATTTCGGACACATATATATGTATTTATTGGTATGATTGTGCATTTCTAAGTGTCTTTGAAGATCGTGGACCATGTCAAAATTGCAGTTGCATAGTTTGCATTGGAACTTCTCCACTCCACGAAGGTGTCCCTGCTCATGTTCTTGCAGCTCTGTATCTGTAGCATGCGTCTTTGCACAGAAGTTGCCTTTGTCAGATCCTGTGCAGGGATGTCTTGCAAGTAAATCCTTGCTTTCAAAGTGCTCACCACAACCTCTGCAGGTCACGACTGTTTCCTCTTGGTGCGTTCTCTCATGCTTCTCCAGTTGAAGACTATTGTTGCAGGCCTTGTGACAATATCTACATCTGAATAATGTCTCCATCCTGGTGAGATAAAGGTTTTTTGTAGAGCAGACATGTAGGAATGTTACTCATGAAGACGATAGCAAAGTCTCCTCCTATGTCATATTGTGATCTGCAAGGGTTAGAGAAGTCAATGAAATGTTCATCTTATGTAAGTGAATGATATTACCAAATATATAACAGTGACTTGTGAACAAAATACTGAATGAAATCTCTGAAGGATCATACAAACAATAAGCCTACTTTGATTTCAGACATACTTTCAAAAGTCAAGATGAAAACAGAAATCAAGAACTGAGAATAAAAACTACCATAATGACATTATAAACATGCTTGTTGTCGAGCCTTATCAGTTAAAAATACTTGTAAATAGTTCCCTTCACCAGACTCATGATCACCAATTCTTTTATTTGAGTGACTTATGAACCAGAACCCATAAAGCACTGACTAAACCATAAAAGTGATTCACATCATTGAGGGACACCTTTTGAATTTATAGTTTGATTGTTACAAAAGTAGGTTCCACAATAAAGGCCGCCAACAGCTCTGCCGTCCATGCTGTCAAGAAAGGACTGATACTACACTACAACATTTGTTGTTTTTCTATGCTGACCTTCCGTGAGACCAAGAGAGCAGCCCCTATGATGTAGTAGTCCCAGATTCTAGAGTCTATGTAGGTTAATTGAAGTAATAGTCCCGGATATTGCAGTTCAGGTAGGTTTCGTTCAGGCAATACATGTAGCCCCAGATATTGAAGTTTACATAGGGTTCATTGAAGTGATAGTCCCAGATATTGAAGGTCAGGCATGGTTCATTGAAGTTAATAGTCCCAGATATTGATGTTTAGGTAGGGTTCCTTGATGTAATAGTCCCAGATATTGAAGTTCAGGTCGTGTTCATTGAAGTAATAGTCCCAGATATTCAAGGTCTCATCAGGTGTGGTGAAACAGCCATCCTCCTGAACACAGAAATGACAAAACAAAGAGAAAAACTCATTAACATTAATCAGGAGAGTAAACAAATTTGATTTGATTTGATTTATTTATTTCTGTTTGATTTTCTTTTTCTTTTGCATTTTTACAAATATATAACAAACAAACATTGCAAATGTACACATGACAAAACAATATATGTAGAATAAAGTAAGGCTGGTTGTAACTAATCAAAAACATGAAACAGGAGGGTTGACAAAGTAAGCAAAGCTTGATAGTATGACTACCCTCAAAGGATACATAATAATACAAATATGGAGGAACAAAATATTGATAAAAGGGGAAAAAGACAGAAAAAAGAAGAAAAAAAGAAAGGTTGAAGTTTGGCAGAGATACAAAATGTAAGTAATGTAAATAAAGTGATACAGCAGACTGCTGTAGGGAGACAATATATAAAGTCTTCATGACAAAGTGGTCTGTCTCAGGTCGCTTTAGTACAGCAGGGTTCAATGAGAAATGTGGTCTTTCTATACAAGTGCCAGTGGTTACCCATTTCCCTCTACACTTATAATAAAGAATTTACAGTAGCTTCTTTGTAACGCTTAAAGTACAAGTCCACTCCGAAAATAATTTACTTTCAATAGAAGCAGAAAAATCAGACAAACTAATCAAAAAAGGTTTGAGTAAAATCGGATATCTAATAAGAAAGTTATGAATTTTAGAAAAAGTACCCGGTATGTAATACTAGATCTATAGAACAATGGAAATCACAAATTGCCAATTTGGTTATCAGAACTTTATCAACTTAATCTTCATTAACTGTTCATATAATGGTCATGATATAAAGTCATTATATTTCTCATACCCTCCGGGACAATTTTTTAATGTTTTTTGGAGTATTTTTCCTAAAAACGAAGACATTATAATATTCACTTTTTCACAAGGTTTCACGGCAAACCGCTGCACAATTACAATACAACTACACACCGAACCGACGAAGGGGTGCGGGCGCACGAGCGTGTATGAAGTTATCGACTGGGATCGACTTCACGCACGCTTGCGCTCCCGCACCCCTAGGCCCTTCGTCGATACGGTCCACAGTGTATGCATTTGTATTGTATTTGTGCCTTGGTTGGCCATGAAACCTGTAAGAAAGTGAATGTTATAATGTCTTTGTTTTTAGGAAAAATACTCTTACAAAAAAGATAAGAAAATTGACACGAAAGGGGTAAGAAATATAATGACTTTATATAATGAATGGATACGAAAGTTCACTAGCGCCTAAGTACTTCATTGCCTTAAAACAAAACTAGAATGAGAATACAATATCATAAATATTTCTTACCCTTTTTTTAAAATGTCAGATTAATCTGTTCTGCAGATCATCAGTAGAAAATTGGAAAAATCTCATCATGGCACCTGAATGAACAAGGAGGAAAAGGGAAATTAAAGTGGATTCCTTATAGACTACACCAACAACAAATCACACACACATTTAACACGAACAAAACAACTGTAACAACAAAACAACATGAAATTGAAAGCACAACAGAGGAAAAGATCGACTTAAATTGGCCTAGAATCAACTCAATTTTCAGGACACAACTAGACCTAATCGTTATTACCATAAAGTAAGTATCAAATTGGCATTACAAGAAAGTTATTTCCGTTTCCATTTATAGTAGCATTTTTCATTAGTATACTTCTAAAGTTATTTCTGTGTAGACCTAGGTCTAGGTCTAGGGAAAAAAAATCGAAACCAATGCTACGTCTGTTAATAGCAGCTCAAAACATAACGAATGGGACCGAGCAAGTAATATTGGCCCGAATTCGATCGTCATCCAAGTAGATCTAGACCTAGGCCTAATTATTCGAATGTATTTTATGTGTATACCATTACCGGTACTTTAACTGTGGCATTGATAATTTACCTGTCTCTTCTTTCTCAAATTGCTCAATACCAGATATTTTGCGATCTTCTGTGGCTTGTTTGACCGCAATCTCGTCCTGTGCCGTCAGAGAGCATTGACTAGCAAAGATTGGTTAGTCACGAAACTAAGCACGCGAGCTCATTGTAGTACATGTACATCGTACAAAATTTTTTTTTCGAACTCTCCATCCTCGTTCTCATGCAAAAAGCCGACTAGACTATGAAAATATGGAATATAAAAAAGGAGAAAGAACTTTTTGACCCAGGCTTTTTGATAACCTCAGCTCAGGCTCTTCTTCACACAGCAATCTCAGCCTACCTAGAGTACTACAAAAGTAAGTCAGAGTAAATTGTCCTGACACTAAATGGTCTTTGGTGCAGTATAATTTGAAGGTAGTCTGCAAAGCACAGACTCTTATTTGACACTTAACTACAGTCCGAGCCTTGGCAGCAGGCGCGTACACAGGAGGGGTTGGGGGGGGGGGGGGGGGGGGGGGGGGGTTGGGGGTTAAACCCCCTCCCCCTTTGGTATTTTTGTGTGTGTAAACCCCGCCCCTAATTTTTCCTAACCCCCCCCCCCCTTATGGATTTTTTTTTTTTTTTTTTTTTTTTTTTTTTTATTTAAAAAAAATATATATATTTCCATGGCTGAGCTAAAAAAGCTGACCTTACCCCCCCCCCTAACGGAGTAAAATGTCAAATTTTCGAGACCAAAAAAAATAAAATAAAGCGTCCTCTTACCCCCCCCCCCCCCCCCCCCAACCCCCCGCTTATTCAGCGGCGGGCTGAGTCGTTGCGAAATGTTCGGCCCGATTTATAAATGTTAACCCCCCCCCCCCCCCCCTGAAAAAATCCTGCGTACGCGCCTGTTTGGCAGAGCCTATATTTCAGATTATAGTTATAGCCCGGAGTTATAGTCTTACATCCCACACCCCCCACCCATTTAAGTTTGGTGACACCTACTTGATTTCAACCCCTTGGATTTCTGTCATATTTTCTATAGGCCTATTCATAATTTAAATTAGGCCCTAGGCGCTATACAGTGGCGTATAGCATGGTCTCAGTCATGGGGGTGGGGCCCCGCCCCCCTCCCCCCTACCCCGGGAACGGAGGGACGTCATGCGTGTTCCCAAAATCTCTGGCTCGTAACAAAAGGTCTACCCGTATTGACTTTACACACTGGACTTATGCTGAAAGGGGTGGGGGGGGGGGCGGCTGGGAACACGCATATGCGTACCCTAAATACGTGGGGGGGGGGGGGGGGTACCATGCAGTCTTTGGTCTAATAACTAGATGGTCAACATTTGATGGGGCAGATTGTCCAGGCCGGGAGGGAATATGATTTGCATTTAAAAAATGAAACGGGCTCATACACATAATCTCTGTCTCTTTTCCAGTATGTCTTCTATATTTCACTCCTATACATCCGCCCATTTTTTTTGTCCTTCTCTGCTGTAAGGTTCATCAAGGACGCAAATCGGATCATAATAATAATAATTCTACATCATACATGCTACAGAGTCAGTTTCTGTTTACAGGTTTAATACTCAACATTAAATCAAATCATTATGAGGTGCATTCACATAACACTTTGGAGAGCATCTTCGAGCATTCTGTCTCTTTATATTATTTCTGATTATTTCACGTTCCGTTTCCTTTCCTTTAATCTCTTGGGAACAGGCACGTATAGCCTGAGTTTGATGTTTTTTTTTTTTTTTTTGGGGGGGGGGGGAGGAGGGCACATACATGTAATCGATCGAGGTAAAAAAAAGTGGTAAAAAAAATTGGGGGCACGTGCCCCCCCCCCCCCCTCCGTACCCCCCGTGGCTACATGCCTGTTTGGGAGGGGGTCAGAACCACGTACCAGAGAAGGAAGCATTTGCAATTATTAGAACCACATTAGGCGCATTAATGTCCACCGGCACTTCCTGGGAAACTGAAAAACGAGGCCTTCTGATTGGTCAGAAGTTAGAGAAAAATGATCTGTCACGTAGCGAGACATTGTATAATGCTATCCTACTTCCTACTTCACCAGTAGTACTTGCAAAATTGATCTCGAGTGTATTAACTGTGTTGTTATCCCATCATTCTTTTAAAAGAAATACAATTCATCATGCTCTCGCATCTCTCTTCTATCGTTGTTTAATTCTCTTTCCTTTTTTCCTTTCTCCTTTAACTCAAAAAAATTCTCTCTTTTCCCCCTTTTCCCATCTCTTTTTTTTTGGAGGGGGGGGGGGGGGGGGGGAGCTTTACGCCTGGCAGGAGGGACCCCATATTTTGTTTGTCGTAATTTTCAAATGAAAGTTAATTTTGAGTTGCTTAGTTTGATGGAAAATAAAAAGGCATCCTCTTAAATCTATTTTCTTGTAAATAGCGAATTTTTTTTTCTTCATAAAGACAACAGGTCCTTCTAGAGTAAAACGACAAAGAAGTTTGATTATTGTTAAAATCATTTGCATGAATAGAAATAAATGATTTGTGTCAATTAGATGGAAGGTCTTTTCAAAATATTACTCTTAATTACAGCACGTATAAACTTTGCTCAAGTATGTTTTCATTTTAGACTTATGATGTGACACAGTTAGCGATCTGTTATTATCTCAATTTCCTTCCAGACATTTTCATCAATTTACACTCTTAGGGGTAAATGTCTGGTCGGAGGTCTACACTGCAAAAACCAGGGTGTTAAATATTCAACACCAGCATGGAATAGAAAAATATCAACACCCTTGGTGTTCATTTCATGTCCGATTGGCGAAAAATAACACCAACGGTGTGAAAATATTCAATTACAGGCTGATGGTGTCATATTTGGTGTTATAAAATCGCACATGCGCATAAGCTAGAGAATTCGACGAAAATCATTGGACGAAAGTTGTCATATGATCCGATATGCGCCTCTGCAGCTGCGCGCGCACAGCTAGACGAGAGCATGTGGCTAGAGAATTTCACTGGCACTGACTTGAAGTCTTGATTCTGGAGTAGTAATTCTTCAAATTAGGCCTAGATTCTAGATGTGAAGTGATCGAAGTGCATGCAACCATGCCATTAAGCGTCAGGGTCTGTTCAGCGGATCGAAGTATTAGAAAATACCTGCCTATAGATCCAGAAGACACAGTAGGATTCTTTGAACTCAGTAAGTGTACATGGTTCTTGTTTGTTATAAACTTTTATAGATCTCCCTTGTAAAAAAAAACCATGGTTTTACCATCATAACCATGGTAATACCATGGTTCACCCATGGTTTTACAATGGATCGACTGTTTTCAGGATCCAACCGTGAGTATCCATGGTTTTACCAACATAACCATGGTTAAACAATGGTTAAACCATGGTTTTACCACTGTTAATAAACCATGGTTTAAAAACTATGGTTAAACCGTGGTTAAACCACAGTTATTACACCACGGTTTCAAAACCATGGTTAAACCATAGTTTTACAGCAGTTCAAAAACCATGGTAACAAAACCATAAATAAACCATGGTTTAACCATGGTACTAAAACCATAGTAATGAAACCATAGTTAAACCATTGTATTACAATGGTTAAAAAACTATGGTTAAGAAACCATGGTTAAACAACAGTATGGCCAACGTTGAAAAACCACTGTTATTTAACCATGGTTATACCATGGTTTTAAAATGGTTCAAAAACCATAGTTTTTTAACCGTGGCAATATCATGGTTTAACCGTGGGTTCTTAACAATGGTTTTTTAACCATGGTTAAACCATTGAATAACCATTGTTAAAAAACCATGGTTAAGAAACCATGGTTAAACAACGATATTGCCAACGTTGAAAAACCACTGTTATTGAACCATGGTTATACCATGGTTTTACAATAGTTCAAAACCCATATTTTTTTAACCGTGGCAATATCATGGTTTAACCGTGGGTTCTTAACGATGGTTTTTTAACCATGGTTTAACCATTGAATAACCATCGTTAAAAAACCATGGTTAAGAAACCATGCTTAAAACCATGGTTTTACCACGGTACAAAAATCATGGTAACAAAACCATGGTTGAACCATTGGATAACCATTGCTAAAAAACCATGGTTAAGAAACCATGATGTAACCATGGTTTTACCATGGTTGAAAAACCACGGCTATTGAACCATGGATGAAACCATGGTTTTACCACGGTACAAAAACCACGGCTATTGAACCATTGTTGAACCATTGGATAACCATTGCTAAAAAACCATGGTTAAGAAACCATGGTGAAACCATGGTTTTGCCATGGTCGAAAACCACTGTAACTAAACCATGGTTAAAAACCATGGTTTTACCACAGTTGAAAAACCATGGCTATTGAACCGTGGATGAAACCATGGTTTTACCACGGTTGAAAAACCACGGCTATGAAACCATGGTTTAACCATAGTTTTACAACTGTACAAAAAACTAGGTAACGAAACCATTTTTAAAAGTTCTACCAAGATACAAAAACCATGGTAAAGAAATCATGTGCAAACCATGGTTTTGCCATGGTTGTAAACCATGGTAACGAAACTATAGTTAAAACGATGGTTTTACCGAGGTTGACAAACTACGGTTACGAAACCATAGTTAAACCATGGTTTTAGAATTGTTCTGATACCATAGTTATAAAAACATGGTTAAACCATGGTTTTACCACAAATCAAACAACGGTCTGACCGTAGTTAACTACACTTTTGACATGGTCTCAACACGAGTATTAAAAAAAAATTAAAAAAACTACTATCATGTAACCAATGTAGTTATGACCACTATATACATAATACATGTATGACCAGCACTACTCGATTGTTTTGATGACCTTGAACTGATTCGATAATATGGAATTGTAACAATTTGCCCCAAAATAAATACAATTATTAGTGTGTTTGCTGCCATCTAGTGGTGGAATGCACACTGTATTTCCAATTTTGAATTTCTTCACTCCAGCCATTACTTTGCCGTTTCGCCAAATTTGTCTTCCTTTAAAACCCAGAATATAGGGGATAAGGGTTAGATTTACACCAGGAAAGAAGAATTGTACGAGACTAAGAGTATTCCAGAGCAAGAATTGGACAACATGCAGAACTCGAAGTAGATCTAGATTTCAATTTACCAGACAGTCACACTGGTCTACATACTACAGTACAGTCCCACACAGCCACTCATGTGTGGGAAAATATCGGTCTGCAGAAAACGACCAACTTTGATTTGCTGCTGGAGCTATACTTTAAGGTCAACATTTTCTCCAGGAGGTGAGTAATAAGATTAAACATAATTTAAGGCTTGATACAGAATTGGGTATGCTTTCTGTAAAAATTAAGAAATTTGGTTATAAATCTCATTCTTCTTTTTGATTTTTTGTAAATTTTGTTCATGAAAAAAAACCAAACGGATTGCAATTGATGATGATAGTAGATTTACTAGATTATATTCCATACTGTACAATACTGCATCCATGAAAGTAACGTACTCCATGGAGCTCCGACGCCGATGCCAAAGGCATCGAAGCTCATGCAGATGTGGCCCGTTTATGAAAACGATTCAAACAGCGGCTGAGCGGGTTTGGTCACATGTTTTCGCAAAGTAAATACTGAAAAAGAGGTAGTCTAATTACAACTTTGACTAGACTTAACAATGTTTTTTTTTACTCCTTTGGGCATCTTTCCAACCACTTGAAATCATAATATGAAGAAGTCTCGTGGGGGAAAAAGGGTGATTCTTTGTGCTAACCCGACGATTCATCCATGTTCGTTGATTTAACATGGCGAGGAGAAAGTACGCATGCGCGGTCACGGCGGAGCAAATATTAATATTCATGATAGGAGGGGGGTTTTCGGCCACTTAAGACAAAATCCTATTTTAGGACTCTTTACTTCCTATTATCATTTCTTGTTCAAATCATGAAGCAAATATTATTATTCAAACAAACAAAGAATCCCAGAAAAAAAATCATGAATTGCCATGACAATATCCATTTCAATTTTCACTGTTTCGGAGACAGTTATCGACCTAGCGAGACAGTTTTCGGTCGTATGTACAAAGTCAATAGGAAGCGCGCCCGCGTCGTGCGTTTCCCCGCTGATCTATAGTACTAGCGGGCGGAGCAGGTATCCCGAGCCGGAGCTCGCCATGCCGAAAACTAGTTCTGCGGTGATCGGAAATTGGAATCTGAATTGGACAGAGATATCGTGTGTGCGTTGCGGTGTTCGGCTGCATTGATTTAATACATGCGATGAGATACTTTTTAGCTTGGGACTCACACAAAATCGGGCTCTAAATATGAAAAATACTTGAAATAAAGCTCATTTTATGGTACCCATATTTCTTACAGACATGCGTAAGATACTCGATTTTTCAGATTCGGGTAGCGGGACCGCTGATTACATCGCTAAAATGTGATATTTTAGGATATATTTTCCATTGCAAATGTGGTTCTTCAGTGACTCTGGCATGGTATGGCATGTGTGGAATATGTGATATGCTATCATGGGATGTATTTTAAAGGAATTTTACTATGCATCCAAAGGACCGGCCGAAAACTGGTGATGGTCGATTACCCCCTCCTTTACTCTAGGCGCCGTTTGTCTAAATTGCTGTATAGGCCTATATAAGAGGTTGAGAAGGGCTTTGTTTCTTCGATTCATGCATAGAGACTATTCAGCAATTTCGAGTAAACAGCGCTGTTTGAATCACTTTCATAAACGGGCTCTGAGCACGTTCGTGTACCCCAAATCTCTGGTAAAGGGGTACTTTAACGCAACAAAGTCTGGCCCATATTGACTTAAATAGGTTGTTTAAAAAATCTGGCCCGTATTAAAATTACACACAGGAGATAGGGGGTGCTTTCAAAGGGGGAGGTACATTTGTAGAGTGTACATGTTGCTAATATCAACTCATAATTTTCGCTATATTTGATTTGAGAGCATATAATACAATTCTACAATGTGCTAATATTTATTTTTATTTTTCAGGGTATCTTCGGCTGCGGGAAAGTCATCAACATGGACTGTTCCAGTGAACATGCAGTCTTGATTTGTAAGACTAAACTGTCCAACAAACTTCACGGAAATTATGCAAGACATGGGTGAGAGTTTGAGAATTCATCTGTATGGGATCCCTATAGAGGAGAGCTTTTCAAAATTATACCAGTTATGCTGACCAGCAAACATTCAGCAAGTACATCCAGTACAATCGACCCTGTCACCTTTGTTCGGTCGGAAGGAATCTGAGAAAGTAATCTTCAATACACAGCTTTTTTTCGAGCAAAACTTTTAAATTTGCCGCACAGATGTGACGTATACGCCTCTGTCTGTGTTGTGAGGACCCTACGTCACAAAAAATGTCGCGCAATGCATTGTGAGAGGAACCGGCTCGATCATTCACTTGTTTTTTGCTCATTAAAGCCTTACTGCACTCCTTTTAGCTACTTGCTCCCTCTATATAGAAAACTTCCCCAATCGGTGCCTGTTGGTTCCCCATGATCCTCTATTTCTTATGTTATTTGAGAGCCGAGTTGATGAGATAGCCACCTGTCAGTGATCTCACCGTGTGGTCTAATCCCTTCTGGCCAAACTAGTACAGATGGCCTTTAAAGACCGTCAATACTACTGGGCCAGAAGGGATTTGACCACACAGCGAGGTCACTGACAGGTGGCTATCTCATTAACTCAGCTCTCAACTAACATAAGAAAAAGAGGATCATGGGGGATCAACAGGCACCGATTGGGGAAGTTTTCTATATAGAGGGAGCAAGTAGCTACAAGTAGGACAGTGGGGCTTTAAACAAAATTATTAAAAATAAGTCTGAGCACCATTTTCCAAAACCAAGTTATTTTGGGGCTGTACAGATCTATGTCTATCTAATCGACTCAACTTTTCAGTGGAGTAGACTTGTACTTTAACACTTATTAAAGTAAGGCTGTGCATAACCGTGTAATGAAGTACTCGAGTACACTCCCAGGCTTACAGTCGAATACTCGGACGCCATGTTTTTTTTTGGTTGAATTTTGTTGATATTTTTTGTTGTTGAAGTGAACTTCTCTATGTATAGTAAAATTATACCTTTACCTTCACGCGTATAATTCATCAATACAAAATTTTAAAGAATTCTTTTTTAGAATATTTATTTTTGTCATGACATCTCATCAAAACTTTCCAGATAGCCTTGCTACTGGTATGACGCAGCACTTTATAGTCATTATTAAGCTGTTCAATAATGGTTCACATTTATCTGCCAGTTTTACCAGTATTTTATCAGCAAAAATATAAAAATGCTTGTTTTCGTGTTAGGAATATCTTTCATTCAGATTAGATTTACATTATAATAATTTGGTTTACACAACTGATATGTACATGTATACATGTATAAGCCCAAAAATTTGCCAGCGTTTGAGACTTTCCATCTATTTAGATATTCATGTTTAGAGAGAAGGTTGAGTTCTGGGAAGAGGTGAAAAAAAATTGTGAGCTTTATCATTGTATTATGTAAGTGTGGCAGTACATCAGATAAAAATGTGCCCTGAAAAGCATGGATCTTCAATCAAATGCCTTAATATTCTAAACATGGCATGTAAAATTATATATTGAGGTTCGATTTTTACGCCACATGTTCATGTAGTCCCATATTCACATCTTTCTGTGTACAGTGCTTGTAACCTTACCAAGACTAGACCAAATTTCTTATAATTTTGATGATTCCAGAACCTTGCAGTACACACCAATACTTTTATATGCTAGATGATCAACCTGTCCTGATCGATTCCACAACGTTTCTTTCACAATGCAATCGCATGACCAGAACTTGACTTTATTTTTAAGCTGTTCAATATTGGTTCACATATATCTACCAGTTTCACCAGTTTTAAATGACATTGTTTATTGTGCTCTTCAAACAAAAGCTGATGGAAGACCAAAGAAGATTGTTTTCATGTTACAATTTTTTTTCTTCTATTAAATGTGAAAATATCGAGTTACTTACTCATCCGTTCACTTGCCGATGCCAACAATTTTGCTAAAATGTATTCACTTAGTGTAATCTTTCATTGTGTGCTGAAACTAGCTTGTGTTCAAGAAAATATGTATTTGCTATAATTACTTTGTAATTAAGAGTACCGGTAGTAAGATTCCACTTGCCTGGTTAAAATGTCATCTTTAGTAAGTTTCCTCTTTACCATCGGATGACTTAGTTATGTTACATTCTTTTATATGTAACCTAGCTAAAATAGTCTAATTTTGTTCAAAATATGAGATTCAGGATTTTGGTATTTCCTAATGAGGGTATCTTAAACCCTCTGCGTAATTTTAAGCGTCGGAAATCATGTGTACATGTATGTAAATATGATATTTGTTTTAATCAAATGAAAATGATAATTTTACAGCATTTCAATAGAAGCTGTTCTTTGTAGTGGCCCATTTTCTCCCTGACTTTGACTTTAAATCTGCTTCAGCAATGTTCTAAATCTTGGGTGCTCGTTTTGAGAGGGTTTACTTATTTGAAAAATTATGCACCATTTTAAGATATTGACTTCTACTTTAATGTCATGTGAAAATCAGCACAATCCTTTTTTTGACCTATTGGTCATTTTGTGGTGTAAGGTCACATATGACATTGTCCAGTATCGTTTTGTAACAAATGATTGTAACACAGTAACCCAAAAAAATTATATAAGTTTTCAAATGAACACATTGTTAATAGTTCCAAAAGTTGAACAAGATGGGCCATATTTCCTCTTTTACAATTGTTATACCTGCTTGTAAGGGTTTCAGGGTACATCCTATATTTATTGTTACTCAGGTTTAAAGTCTTTTTGGGAGGGGTGGGTGGCTTTTAGTATAGAAGTGGTTGAAATAAAAGGCTTTTAATTCTGATCCTTAGGCCATTTTATTCAAGGAGATGGTCTTGTTATTGTGTGTAGGGAGGGATATGGGTGTATAGGTGTGAAAAGGCATTTTATAAACATATGTCCATATTGATCCAGTTATTTGCAAGATGTTCATTACCATTTGTAAGTTTGTTATGTTTGTCTCATTAAGTCAGTGTTAATTACAATTTTTTTTCCCCTCTCAAACAGTACATTTCAATTTCAATTGAAGAAATATAGTTATAGGTTTTTTGTATCAAACAATTGCTGGAATTATAGAGTTAAAATAGAGACCATCTGAAATGCATTACAATAAAGGGTACAAACAAGAAGGGGAAGAACTTGTTTTGACTGACTAGCCAAATACCTATAATTGGGATACAACTTGTTACCTTTCAAACAAATCAAATGTTTGCAGTTGGTAAAATTATCTTTGTATATTTGTGTGATTTTTTGGGGTCATGCCCTCTTTACAGTTTTTATTATTACAATATATGCAATAGGACCTCAACTCAGGAAAAAAAAAAATCTTGCATACTCAGATACCTTGCCATATTTGTTCTTATTACTGACAGCTTTATGGTGTTGTGGTCAGTGTAATGGTACTCTTAATTGAAATATTTTAGTCTTTCCTTTTTATTCCTCATTAGCCTATACCTCATACATATAAGCTTGCTAAGTGTGTGCTGTTTACAAACAGTTTACTAATTAACTTTTTATGTGTACCGGTAAGACAGTTTATTACAAATATTTATTTGAACATGCATAAAGTCTTGCCACTTTACGTCTAAAGACTAGGATGTTTAAACACATTTACATGTATTACTCTAAAACGTGTGTGACATATATTTTATTAAAAGTATTCATCTTTTTCAACACAATTTTTCATTTCTTTTGGCAGGTCATTCATTGTGTCTCCCATCACTGATATCAAACATATATTATGTATTTCTTACACATTTAAAATAGCTTCTCTTTTCTATAAATGATTTACATTTCAGAAGTTTCACCTTGGATTCACCATGGTTTGTACCTAAAAGCCATGGTGAAATTATGGTTAAACGACGGAGAAAACATGGTAATACCATTGTTTGACTGTACCGTGGATCCATTGTAGTACCATGTTATCAAGGTGGTAATACCATGGTGAAACTGTAATACTATGGTGTACTGTAATACCATGGTGAAACCATGGTTAAACCATGGTTTTACTGTACCGTGGATCCATTGTAAACCATGAAATAACAGGAGTAAATTGGAACAGACATATTATGGTAAAACCATGGTTTTACTGTAGTTTTACCATGGTTTTGCCGTGGTCATACCATGGTGAAACCAAGGTGAAACCATGGCTTTACTGTACCATGGATCCATTGTAAACCATGAAATAACAGGAGTAAATTGGAACAGACATATTATGGTAAAACCATGGTTTTACTGTAGTTTCACCATGGTTTTGCCGTGGTCATACCATGGTGAAACCAAGGTGAAACCATGGTTAAACCATGGTTTTACTTTGCGGTACTTTGCGGTTTAACCGTGGTAAAACCATGGTTTTACTGTACCATGGATCCATTGTAAACCATGAAATAACAGGAGTAAATTGGAACAGACATATTATGGTAAAACCATGGTTTTACTGTAGTTTTACCATGGTTTTGCCGTGGTCATACCATGGTGAAACCAAGGTGAAACCATGGTGAAACCATGGTTAAACCATGGTTTTACTTTGCGGTACTTTGCGGTACTTTGCGGTTTTACCGTGGTAACACCTTGGTTTTACCATGGAAAAACCACAGTTTAACCATGGAAAATCCATGGAAAATCCATGGTAAAACCATAATATGTCTGTTCCAATTTACTCCTGTTATTTCATGGTTTACAATGGATCCATGGTACGGTAAAACCATGGTTTTACCGTACCATGGATCCATGGTTTTTTTTTACAAGGGCTAGCCTATAGTATTACGTGTTCGTCAGCTGGCGCTAGCCGCGCCTGTCGTTGGGTAGCCCAGGCCTAGAGGTCTAGGCCTACTATGCCTTGGCTGTCCGGCCGGGTTGGGTATCCGGTCAGCATGATGCCATTTAATATTTTATGGATTTCTGAAAAATTATCATTGATAAATACTCCAAAGGGCAAACATTCATGATAGATCTAGGTCTATATAGACTCTATTGTTATTTAATAGGTCTAGATCTACATATTTGTTTCAAAATGTAAAGGAAAAATCAGTAGATCTAGACCTAGTCTAGGGCCTAATCCTGGGTTTTTGCAAAAATATCAGGTCTAGGCTAGATCTAGATCTAGATCTAGAAGTCTAGACTAGATCTAGACTCTAGATTTCTAGGCCTAACAGTTAGATCTAGAGTTCTAACGTTAGATCTGCATTGACATTAGGCCTAGATATCTAGATCTAGATCTAACGTTAGATCTAGACTAGATCTAGATCTACCCCATTCATGTAATAAAAAAAATGCAAAAATAATAAACATGGAAATTCAATCTCTAGATCTAGATCTAGATCTAGACTATTTGTAGCGCACACAACAGTCCAAACTCCACCCCCGGTTGA